AAAACTTTTCAAAATTTTTCTGACCGAGAATTATCAAATTTGCTTTTCATTCTGTAATGGTTCAAATCAGATGACAGAAACATCATAAGGGCAAAATATTACTCAGATATGTATTTTGTATGTGCAATAAATGTCATGTTTGCAATAAGTAGTTGCATTTTTCTATTGATTTTAACATATAAAATTTGGCGATAGTATATTTGAAGGAGCTTGCAAATCTCATGGCTGAATTTTGGTTTCCACGTCTCAGTTTAAATTTTTTTGTCGTAAAAGATGGCATATAGAATGAAGATTTTATTGCTTTCTAAGTGAAGATGTCCTTGTTAGTTAAGATATATATTGAATTTAGTAAACTTACAGTAATTTTTCATAAAAAGGTTGAATTTTTATGAAAACTTGCAATTCTCATGACCGAGAATTATCAAATTTGCTTTTCATTTTGTAATGGTTTAAATCAGATGACAGAAACATCCATAAGGGCAAAATATTACTCAGATATGTATTTTGTATGTGTAATAAATGTCATGTTTGCAATAAGTGGGTGCATTTTTCTATAGATTTTAACACATAAAATTTGGCGATAGTATATTTTGAAGGAACTTGCAAATCTCGTGGCTGAATTTTGGTTAAATCCACGTCTCAGTTTAAATTTTTTTTGTCGTAAAAGATGGCATATAGAATGAAGAGTTTGTTGATTTCTAAGTGAAGATGTCCGTGTTAGTTAAGATATATATTGAATTTTAGTAAACTTACAGTAATTTTCCATAAAAAGGTTGAATTTTTTATGAAAACTTGCAATTCTCATGACCAAGAATTATCAAATTTTGCTTTTCAATTGCTTTTGCAGTTTTTATTCAGTAATATCCTTGATGTTCAAATCAGATGACAGAATCTACCTGGTGGAAAGGGCTTACAGAGGATGTGGAAAGTCTATGTATGTAAAATTAAGTATTATGCCAATGTTTGGTATGGGGGAGAAAAGATTTCTTTTAGCTCAACTTTTTTTTGCAGTATTGTTACAGTTATTTAGCGTTTGCTGTCGTCAAACTTTTTAGCTTTGAATCATAACTTTTTAAGTTCTTGGTGTGTTGTCTACATACTTTGCCACAACAGACCTTTGAGTAAATCAGACTTAACTTGACTTGATTCATAAATGACCTTAATTTTATAGGAAATGTTTGCTGATTTTTGCTATAACTTAATTACTTTTGAATGGATTGTCTTAAAACTTCAACATTAAAATCTTCTTATCATCTAGAAGAGTCTATGACATCTAGACCCCTTGACACCTCGACCCCTTGACACCTCGACCCCTAAGACATCTCGACCCATGACACTTAGACCCCTAAGACACTTAGAACCCTTATATTGACTGGACATTTCGACCCCATATTCTATAATGTACTTGAAGATGTTCACTTCGATAACATAATTTGCATAAAGACGTAAATATATAAAAAAAGGTTAATTTGTTTACAAGTTTGTTATTATATTTAATCTGATAGATATGCTGAGCAATAAGTGAAATCATATTGAGCCGTTATTTGTTTATACAATTAAGTATTTGTATAAGGAATAGAAACACACGCACGATATTATAACTGAAAGTATAATATTTTATGTATATACATTGTATACATGATATCAACAATAACAGTAATTTCAATAGATATTTAATTTTTATGATATGAATATTCTATCTGTCGTTTTGTACTTCACCTTTTTCAAAGAAAATATTGTCATTATTTCAATGTGCACTTATTAATTTCTGTTAATCGAACTACTAATATTAGGAAATCTCAGGCTTATTGGTTCTTTAAATACTATATTTTAATGGGGAAAAAAACAACAACAAAAAACAACATGTACGTGTGTTGTTATTCATGAAATAAAAATATGTTTTCAAGGACGTTAGTATAAAATTTTTATATCGAGAACTTTTCTATCGTTACAAATCAAAAAGTAAATAGTATCAAATTACGAAAAATAACAAAAAACTTCCGAAAACTAATACAAACGAAGGTCAATATTGCCAAACAATAAGTAATGTTAACATTTAAAAAAAATCTAATATCAGCACAGTATTAATGTACCAAACAATAAAAGGGATCATCTTTATTTTTCACCTGTGTATCGAATCAACAAGTGTTGTGTTTTTGCTCTTTATTTTTTCCGTCTTCATTAATTTTTTTTCATATAACAGATGCATTTTAATTTATGGTATTACATAGTACATGATATCGATGTATCAATGGTCTCTTATTGTGTCTGTCCGCCCTATAAAAAAATGTAATATGTTTATATATTTTAATAAAAAAAATTAAATTGAATGTTACGTATAACAATTCCTTTCCCAATCAGAAAAAACCGTTAAAATCGAATGTAGCTACTGTTTATTTTGGCACAACAACAACATTTGGTGATTGGCAAGAATGTTTATCACGGGTGTCAAGTACCGATAATTAAATTACCAGTGACACGTGGCTGATGTTTATTGGGCACGCGTTTTCACACCATTTAGAAAAGATAATTAATAGGAACGTATCGACTTAAAGATATCAAATAATTTCTTAACTTGTTGTTGTCAAAAATATTGCTTTGGAGCTCATCATGGCAATATTTTACTCAATTTATGAGAAAAAAATGCGTATATGAAATTTGAGATGTAATAAAACATTTTGGAGATTAACTTATTTTTTAATGTTACAAATTATATAAGAACTAGATGAGACTATATCATTTTTTTTGTCAATATAACTGCAATTTCTAAATATTATAATTTTACATTATAGTTGTAAAAATATAGTACATGTAATTTTCGAAAGTACGTTTTTAAATTAAAATTAATCGAAAACATGAAGATCGCTTTCAAATAAACAACCATTTATTGATTGATGTATGTTGTTTTTTAATTAATTCATAATGTAAATACCATAAAAATGAGATCATTGCTACTTTGACAAGTCAATTAAATATATACACTAAATTAAGTAGACATGTAAAACAATTCATCGCCAATATAACATGTAAGTGTTTGTCACATAAAAAAATATAACTAAATTTTTACAAAGTTGTAGATATGAAATAAATACGCGATGCAAAAACCGCGCATTTTCATTATAATCATTATCATAATTCCTGCACTTTTAGTCAGGGGTCTAATTTGATAATATCACGCCAAATCATTTTATATTAACATAAATTATATATTATAACTGCTATGTAGCCATCCTACAATTCTATGTAACATTTATAACATTAAACAAATAAAAAAACTATGTTTAAACTTATTGTTTTACCTTAAGTTTTCAATATTTAATCGGATAAACTTTTTAATGAAAATTAATTTAAATATTTGCTGTTAACTTTAAATTATTTCTCGAAGTATCTGTGATTCTAAAGTACAAGAAATTGAGATAGGGGTCGAAATGTCTTACCCACTAGGGGTCGAAAAGTCATGTTAAAAGGGGTCTAAGTGTCAAGGGGTCTAGAAGTCATCTTAATTGCGTAAGGGGTCGAGAAGTCAAGGGGTCTAGATGTCTTACTTGCATCTAGAATAGCCCTTCAGGTGAACCAGACAGAATTTCACCTTCACTCATAAATAGCTTATCGTTATTTACCTTTTTTGCTGTATTACTGGCTATAACTTTGTTATTATTAAATGGATTAACTTCATATTAGAGAAAACATTCTTAAGTATAGAGACTTTATGTATATAAAACTGTAATTGACCATAGACTGTGTGGTGTAATTATTGATTTTCACTGATTTTTGCTATAATTGACTGTAACTTGGTAATTCATCAATGCAAGTCCTTCACTACTTGGACAAAAGCAATATTTTATTAATTATGTACATATTTGATTCATACTTCATACAGAACATCTTTGTGACGCAAACAGACATGTTGAATTATTTAGATATGACCTTTTGCCTTTATATGACTTTTGGACATTAACAAAACAACAATTGATAGACATTGCAACAGTTTTCAACGGAGTGAGTGAAATGATCTGAAATTTAGTACTAGAGTTATTGTCTAGACATACATCTAGTTATACAAAAAACTTGAAAAAAGTATTTTCAGTCCCTTCACATCAAAAAACCTCAGTGGAGTCCCTTTTAATCTTTGGAAAAAAGAAAACCTTATTTTTTTTTCTTTAATGTTCTATTAAAGATTTGTTTGAACAAACTATTTGTTTGCTAATAGAAAAAGTACAAAAGTTTAGTGTTCCCTGCCAACAAAATATTGGGTTTTATGTGCTAATTTAAAAATTACAAGTTTACAGGTACAGGTCATGGAACATTTTGTGACTTACAAAACAGTATAAGTTGGCAATTGCTAGTATTCACCAATGACTGTTAAATTTGAGCAAAATTTTCATAATGCATATATATATATATATTATATATATATATATATATATATATATATATATATATATATATATATTATACAATATGAACATAATTATTTGCAAGTTTCATGGTTGTGTCTGATCATATTCATTGGATGTTTTTTTTTTCAAATTAATTGGGGAAACTAAGAATGTCAGAAAGTGGTTGTTAATGCTTATTTACTCTAAAGAAACATGCTTTTCTTAGAAGAAAGGATATTATTATGGTTCCTGCTCTTGGCCAATCTGAAGCTTCTAAGGGCATTAGATAAAAAACACCATTACTCAAACTTGCATTATTTGAACAGGACATCAATGCTATATTTAAACAAGAAGATGTTTCTTTGAGGTTCAAATGGTTGTGTTGTTAAATAGACATTTTTGTTTCAAATTTTATTCAATGACAACAACAATCAATTGGCTCTGCAAGCATTTCCCTATCAATGAGCAAGCACAACATATTCTCGTAAGTAAGGAAATTTAAATGAAAACAATAAACATCTTATTCATTTCAAAAATCATATACACATATTTTTTTATTTATAAATATGAAACCAGAAATATTATTTTCAAATCTTTTTTTCAGGTGCGCTCATGTGTTGCTTGTCAAAGAACAGATCCTTTAAGCCTGCAAAGAAACCTGAACTGCAACAAATAAAGGTATATTTTTGTACATGTATTAAAGGGTCCTATCATATTTGTATTTCTATAAGCCAAAAAATGTAACTGTTGGTGTATATTGTTATACACCTAGTTTTGTCCGCCATTTAGCATGCTAAATTTGTGTCATTATTGCATTTTTTGAACTGGTGAAGGAAATTGAAACTAGTTGTCAGAAATGTTAAATTTCTGACATTTTGAATAAATTTCAAAATAACGTGTCCACTCTCTATCTTTTGAACTGATAGAAAGAAATGAAACTATTCAGCAGAAATATTACTTATAATGAGCTGTAAATTGGCCACACCTGGGGATCACTTTATTGATAAAGACAAGTTTTTGTGTCTATTGAACCCAATGGAAGGAAATTGGGCTGAAATATTAACAATTATTAGAGAAAATGTACAGAGAGCAGGTTTGGCAGATCAGGATCACACTTGGTCTTAATGTGTAAGTTTTCAAAATTCTACACTGGATAGAAACAAACCCTTGACAATGGTTTGATATTAGTTAAATCTAAATAAAAATGGTTTAATAATGATTATAAAACAATTATACAGCTAATAAATACAATACATATAACAAAACAAATAACAATAAAATAACACAAATAAATCCAGAATATTTAGAAATACAATAAATGACTTAATCTTGAAAGAATTTGTTGAATTTCACCGAAGTGGGCAGAGTCAAACTCATACTTATTTTAAGGGAATTCTGTCGCCATTTTGTTTGAAAAATCTGAATAGAATAAAAAACAACTTTTTGTTAAATTTTGTTTTGAAAATCTATTCTAGAATGAATAGAAAAATAGTCTAACTAAGAAAATGAATGTGAACACCAATATCTTCAATTCAGTCATTTAAATGCCATACTGACATTGAAAAAGAGTTGTTTACGTGACATCACAATGCTACAGCGCCAAACAGCAAAAACAGTGAAAAACAAGACCGCTATTTCAATGCCATTTCACATTTATTTCACCATAAATACTCTATTTCGCTTGAAAAAGTTAAATTAAATATTAATAAACTCACAAAAATTAATGGTGAATTGTCAATATATTACTGCGCCCTGTACAATTGCAGTTGCGTAGCAAGCAAGGGGATTCGTAACCATTTTTCTCTTTGATCTTAAAATTAAACAAAAAGGTTATTTTTTCGTTTGTGAGTCTTGAAGTACCAATATTTATATATAATTATATATATATATGCAATTATTTTGAATACTTAAATGTTAAGGCTAATATACAACTTCAAGTGAGACAAAAACAGCAGTCAAACTTTAGACAGGGTTATTTTTTGTTCTCCAGATTGACTATGACTATGTACTTCATCTTTGTAGGTTTCCAGTCCATTTGAACTGGTTGGAGTGGATTTAATAGGACCCTTTACAACCACTAGTCAAGGCTTCAAATACATTTTTACTGCCACCGACTACTATACAAAATGGGTTGAAGCATTTCCCATTGCCTCCAAAAAAGCAACAGATGTAGCCAAGTGTTTTCAGAAGCTGTTTGCTAGGCATGGTGCTGTAAATGCGATTCTTACAGATCAGGGAAAAGAATTTCTGAACAATGTAAGTAAAACACAAAAGATTCAAGTTTGATGTTACATGTAATGTAAGAAATTAGTCAAATTACTGTTACCAGCAAGGCGTAACAAAAAAGAAAAGCCACTTTTAAAGAACTTGGAACTATATCAACAAATTTTACTTAAATATATTATAGAGAAAAGTTGAATCATTATTTATGCCTATTCCTCTGAGATGTTGGAACAATTATTATCTGTTGTATAAACATTATTTCCTTACTATATAGGCAGAGAAACTTAACACATTACTATGATATAGGCAAACTAAAAACTCAAAAGTTCATTAATGTCATTCATTCAATGGCATAATTGAATGGCCAAATTGGCCCTTCAGAATATTGCCGTAGGGGACTTATGGATTGCTTGCAATACTATAATAATTGCTTGTTGATCCTGGAGATATCTTAATATTTGATAAATGTAACAAAAGATAACCTAAAGATACCAGAAAATGTTGCCTTACATACCACATAAAGATCTATCCAGAACATTTTATAACATTTTTTTCTAAGAGTATCCATCAGTTTCTTAATTATTCTACTCTTATTAAATTTACAAAACTAGAAGATTTCTTATAAGTCTAGATATCTGTAAATAATTATTATTGCTAGATATAACTACATGACATCAGACATGTACGAAATGAAGCAATACATAACATACTGGATATTGAAATGTTACAATATTGCATTGTATATATTATAGTCTGTCACTTTTTGCTTTGACAGTATAAGAAATGCATTTCTTTGATCAAAAATGCCTAATTATTATAATTATTTCAAGTATATTACAGCTGCATACCTAAACATGAGCCAAAATATCAACTTAAGGGTAAATTTAGATTTAAAGAAAATAAAACTATTCTTGATTTCATAAGTAATTTTCATGTTATATGCAATTAAAGACTGATTTTTTAGTATCTATCAACATATTCCTATGGGGTGACTAATGTCTTATGCATATTCTGACCTTTTGGTGGTAATTTTAATTTTTTTGAAGATTTTTTTAGTGACATTAATTTTGCAATGTGTAAATTACTTTCTTTGTTTGATATTTTACTTCCTTATACATTTTATAATTTCTTGAAAAATAGCATGAATCTGGGGCATGCTGCTTTTAACAAGCAGTTTCCCTTATGTAAGTTAACAACATGAGGGATTCTTGCCAAATCTGGATAGAATGATCTTAGTACAGGAGAACATACTTTTTATCTTGTAAACTTTTGGTCTATGCCTGATCAGTCTATGGAGTCTTTGAGACAGTACATTAAGTCTTTGTTAAAAGCATGGACATTACGACTTCTTGTTGATGGATTGTTTTTCAGTACTTTCAACTCTTTTTACCGCTAAAGTGGCAAGGACTTTCAAAACAGTCTAAGATATGTCAATATATATATATAATATATATATATATATATATATATTATATATATATATATATATATATATATATATATATATATATATATATATATATATATATATATATATATATATAATAGGTATTTCCTGATTGATAATATTTGATGTCCTTGGCTTTGCATCATTAAAACTGTATTGTAAATATGCCATTAAAAATATCAATTCATTTCATAATGCAAACATTGACTGACTGTTTTATTCAGTTGAATGTTGTAGGATATTGTTTTCAAGCAGCATAAACAATACTGCATTTTTATTTGCAGCTAAATGAACAACTTTGTCAGGAGTGGAATATCAAGCATAAAGTGACAGCAGCATACCTGCATCCACAAACAAATGGTCTAGATGAGAGGACCAACCAAACCTTGAAAGCGTAAGTTTATTATATATTTTATTTGTTTTAATATTTTCTATTCATCACTGATACAAATCAAAGCGCTGAAAGCACTGCTGGGGGCGCATTATGTTGATTGTTTAGTGGTCTATTGTTACAAGCAGATGCCATTCCTACTTTCAAAGCAGATGTCACATTTTTTACTCGATTATTCGATAAGAATAAGTAGAATTATCCTAGTCATCTGAACATTGGCGTCTATCACCTCAATTTTTCCCGAAGTCCATTGACATATGGCATTGAAACTTTGCACACACTTGATCCCGATCAGGCACCCATTTGTTAAAGATTGCCTATGGCTTCAAGATATTTTCGTATTCCATAGACATCTGGCTTTGAAAATAAATTGAAATGTTATACATTTCTTTGCGAGCATACTAGCTAGGTCTCTCTCCAATGCTTATATCTGTAGAATATTGGGTTTAAAGAAATTTTTGGTCCTTTTGTGAACTTAAAATATTTTAAATAACCAAGGTTCTTCTATTGTCAAGCACTAAGCATATAGTTGAGTGTGCTGTCCTACCAACAGCTATTGTTTGCATACCTTGTGAAATATAACTCCTTCAAACTTTTGTTCAGTTATTATTATACAAACACAAGAACTGTCTGAGGACAGTAAGGCTCGACTATTCGAAAAAGTTGTCACAAGGGTGTTTATTGAGTATAACAAGAGCTGTCGGTAGGACAGCACGCTCGACTATTCTAAGTGCTTGATAGTAAAAGAGCCTTGATAATGTTAATTTTTTAAGTTCAAAAAAGGGAAAAATTTTTTTTATAAATTCATGTTTATGATAGGCCTTAGAGAGAGTCTAATTTTACAATATTGGCTTGACTATTCGGAAGGTAATGTCACAAGGGTGTTTTATTGAGTATAATAATACTAATTACCTATGAATACATAAATTTGACAGAAAAGGTACAAAGGCTTGTAATTAAGATGTTTTATCAAGCAAATCACGGCTTTATTATTATGAATGCATAAAATTGTCCCAAAAATGGCACAAACCCTTCAGTAGGTATTAAGATAACAGCTTACAAGCAAAACTTTACCATGAATTTCTAAGTTGAAAAAGGGGAGAAAATCAGCCTAAATGCAAGATAGAATTATGGATCTTTGTCAGTGACCTACAATTATGACCCTAAATGCATATGTGAAGTTTTAAATAAATATCTTTAGTAGTTATTGAGATATGTAAAACTTGCATGTAAACATTAACCAAGAGACTAAGTAGAAAAGGGGATATGAATCAGCCTTAATGCAAGATAGAGTTATGGAACTTGGTCAGGGACATACAATTACGACCCTCCAATTATGACCCTAAGTGCATGTGTAAAGTTTCAAGTAAATATCTTTGAAGACCTTTAACCTTTAACCAAAATTTCTAAGTTTCAAAGGGGCAAATAATTCTGCAAATATTGCAGGCAGAGTTATGCAATTTTTTGCAAAACTGATGTACATTGTTACTATAAAAAGGTATTTTAAATTTCAATTGAATATCTCAAGCAATAATTGAGATATTTGACTTTACAAAAAAACTTTAAACCAAAATTTCTAAGTTAAAAAGGGGCATAATTCTGTCAATATTGTAGGCAGAGTTATCCAACTTGTCCATCTGATGTACCTTGTTACTATAAATAAGTATTGTAAGTTTCAATTGAATATCTCAAGCAATAATTGAGATATTTGACTTTACAAAAAACTTTAAACCAAAATTTCTCTAAGTTAAAAGGGGCATAATTCTGTCAATATTGTAGGCAGAGTTATCCAACTTGTCCATCTGATGTACCTTGTTACTATAAATAAGTATTGTAAGTTTCAATTGAATATCTCAAGCAATAATTGAGATATTTTGACTTTACAAAAAACTTTAACCAAAATTTCTAAGTTAAAAAGGGGCATAATTCTGTCAATATTGTAGGCAGAGTTATCCAACTTGTCAATCTGATGTACCTTGTTACTATAAATAAGTATTGTAAGTTTCAATTGAATATCTCAAGCAATAATTGAGATATTTGACTTTACAAAAAACTTTAACCAAAATTTCTAAGTTAAAAAGGGGCATAATTCTGTCAATATTGTAGGCAGAGTTATCCAACTTGTCAATCTGATGTACCTTGTCACTATAAATAAGTATTGTAAGTTTCAATTGAATATCTCAAGTAATAATTGAGATATTTGACTTAACAAAAAACTTTAACCAACGCAGACGCCGACGCGGACGCCGACGCCGACACCGGGGCGACTACAATAGCTCTCATATTCTTCGAATAGTCGAGCTAAAAATGCTTACCAATGAATACATAAAACTGACCGAAAAGGTACAAAGGCTTGGATTAAGATGTTTTATCAAGTAAATCACTGCTTTATTATCATGAATGCATAAAATTGTCCCAAAAAAGGCACAAACCCTTCAGTAGTTATGGAGATAACATGCTTACAAGCAAAACTTTACCATTAAATTCTAAGTTGAAAAAGGGGAGAAAAATATGCCTAAATTCTCGATAAAATTATGGATCTTGGTCAGTAACCTACATTTACAATTATGACCCTAAATGCATGTGAAGTTTTAATATTGTAAGCAGAGTTATCCAACTTGTCAATCTGATGTACATTGTTACTATAAATAACTATTGTAAGTTTCAATTGAATATCTCAAGCAATAATTGAGATATTTGACTTTAAAATAAACTTAAACCAACGCAGACGCGGACGCTGGGTTACTACAATAGCTCTCATATTTTTCAAATAGTCGAGCTAAAAACTACCAAGTCAATGGTTGAAACCATATAGTTATTCCATATATAATATATATATGTATATATCATGGAAAACATTTCAAGATGTTACAATGGATTGTAGTGTATAACAAGAAAATCAATGTACTTTAACTTTAATCCAATAATCATACAAACATCTGTAAATAACTGGAACAAAATATTTCTTAAATAAAACCATAAAAAACAAGAGGGCCATGATAGCCCTAGATCGCTCACCTGACTTATCAAACTCATCCAAACAATTACCTAGACAAACATTCTGACCAAGTCTCATGACAGGTGAGTCAAAAATGTGACCACTACAGTGTTAACAAGGATTATCCATATTTGAGCAGTGCGACCTGTTTTTTTACTCAGGTGACACATATTCAAACTTGACCTAGAAATCATCAAAACAAACTGTCAGACCAATTTCCAGGATACTTGGATCAAAACAGTAGCAACTAGAGTGTTAAAAAGATTTTTCTATTTTTAGCTCCGGTGACCTAGTTTCACATGCGATTTCCAACTCATCCAAGCTATTACCTAGACAAGCATCCTGACCAAGTTTGATGATAATTGAGTCGAAAATGTGACCAGTAGAATGTTAACAAGGCTTTTCCATATTTGGGCGGTGTGACCTAGTTTTTTTCATCCAAGATGACCCATGTTGGATCTTGACTTAGAAATCATCAAAACAAACTTTTAGACCAATTAACAGAATATTTGGATCACAACAGTAGCCACTAGAGTGTTAACAAGATTTTTCTATTTGTATCTCCTGTGACCTAGTTTTTCATTCGAGATGTCCCATGTTCGATTTATTCCCAGCAATGACCTAGGCAAGTTTCCTGACCAAGTTTGCTAACAATTGAGTCAAAATTGTGACCACTAGAGTGTTAACAAGGTTTTTCTATTTTTAGCTCCTGTGACCTAGTTTTTCATCCGAGATGACCCATGTTCGAACTCATCCGAGCTATCACCTAGACAAGCATCTTGATCAAGTTTGATGATGATTGATGCAAAAATGTGACCACTAGAGTGTTAACAAGGTTTCTCTATTTCTAGCCCAGGTGACCTACTTTTTCATCCGAGATGACCCATGTTCAAACTCATCCGAGCTATCAACTAGACAAACATCTTGACAAAGTTTGATGATGATTGATGCCAAAATGTGACCGCTAGAGTGTTAACAAGGTTTTTCTATTTTTTAGCTCCGGTGACCTACTTTTTCATCCGAGATGACCATGTTTGTACTCATCCGAGCTATCACATAGACAAGCATCTTGACCAAGTTTGATGATGATTGATGCAAAAATGTGACCGCTAGATTGTTAACAAATGTTTTTCTATTTTTAGCTCCGGTGACCTACTTTTTCATCTGAGATGACCCATGTTCAAACTCATCCAAGATATCAACTAGATAAGCATCCTGACCAAGTTTGATGATGATTGATGCCAAAATGTGACCGCTAGAGTGTTAACAAGGTTTTTCTATTTATAGCTCCGGTGATCTAGTTTAACATCCGAAATGACCCATGTTCGAACTCATCCGAGCTATCAACTACATAAGCTTCCTGACAAAGTGTGATGATGATTTGGTCAAAAATGTGACCACTAGAGTGTTTACAAGGTTTTTTCTATTTTTTAGCTCCTGTGAACTAGTTATTCATCAGAGATGACCTATGTTCAAACTCATCCAAGCAATTGACTAGACAAGCATTCTGACCAAGTTTGATGTTGATTGGTTCAAAAATGTTACCGCTAGAGTGTTCACAAGGTTTTTCTATTCATAGCTCCTGTGACCTACTTTTTCATCCGAGATGACCCATGTTCGAACTCATCCGAGCTATCACCTAGACAAACATCCTGACCAAGTTTGATGATGATTGGGTCAAAAATGTGACCTCTAGAGTGTTCACAAGGTTTTTCTATTTTTAGCTCTTGTGACCTAGTTTTTCATCCGAGATGACTCATGTTCGAACTCATCCATGCTTTTAACTAGATAAGCATCCTGACCAAGTTTGATGATGATTGAGGCAAAAATGCGACCGCTAGAGTGTTCACAAGCAATTGTGGACGGACGACGGACATCACCGATCCTAAAAGCTCACCCTGAGCAAGCTCAGGTGAGCTAAAAACCAAAAACTGATGATGACAGAACGGGTACCACTTTATGCCTATATAATTTTTTTGCTCAAGTGATTTTTTTTCGAAGAGCTACATGTGAATTGCTGCCAAATATACATAGGTAAAAACTATTTCAAAGCTGCATGCATTCATATAAATATATTTAAAAAAATCAAACTTGATTAAATAAAAAAAAATCAAGGATAGCCCAAACTTGTTTATTATAAAAAAATATATATACAGAATATTATGTTGTAGTAGCTCTCTGAGGCTTTGTATTTTGCTATGAGCAGCGGTGGAAAATTGATATCTTGCGAGACCAAAGGGCGAGCTAGATAACAATTTTCCAACATTGCAAGTAGAAAATTGCATAGCCTCAGAAAGCTACTACAACATAATTTTCCTTTATAATATACCTTTCCGTTTGAAGTATAAATGATTTTCATTATACTACACTTATATAAGAAATTTCAGAAAAAGAAATGTAGCTGTCAAGAAAAAAATTATGACTGACAGATGAATACGTAATTTGTGCAAAACCAGCCACACCTTTTATTATTTTGGTTGCCGTTTCCATATACTACGTTATACACAGCTAAGATCAGAACCAACGTCAACAAGAACCGGTTGAACCGGGTGATGCTCCCCGAGCAGGTTCTGGACACAGGAAAGTATAAAAAAATGAACAAAGGGCAAAAACTCCAAAATTAGGCAAAGCGGAGTTATGTTTTTTTTGCACTGCACTTCTATTCAATTAGATCTATCTATCTATAAAGTTTCCTGATGATATCAGAGTTATGTCCCGGGTAAAATTCAAAGTGTAAAAATGAAATAGGGTAATAACTCCAAAATTAGACCAGGCTTTGTTGAGGTTCTTTAAGCATTGCAGTTCTATCCAATTATATCTAGCTACCTACAAAGTTTCATGTTGATATCTCTAATAGTTTTAAAGTTATGTCTCGGACAAAAATCAAAAAGTAAAAATAAACAAAGGGCAATTACTTCAAAATATGGCAAGGCAGAGTAATGATTCTTAAGCACTGCTTAGAGTAATGTCCCGGACAAAGTTCAAAGTGTCAAAATGATCAAAGGGCAATAACTCCAAAAGTAGGCAAGACAGTGTTACAGTTCTTGTGCACTGCAAACTTACTCAATGATATCTATCTACCTACAAAGTTTCATGTTGATATCTCTTTTACATTTAGAGTTATGTCCCGGACAAAGTTCAAAGTGTAAAAATAAACAAAGGGGGATAATTCAAAAATTAGGCAAGGGAGAGTTAAGGTTCTTGTTCACTGCTTACCAACTCAATGAGATCTATCTACCTACAAAGTTTCATGTTGATACCTATTATAGTTTTAGAGTTATGTCCTGGACAAAGTTCAAAGTGTAAAATAAACAAAGGGGGATAATTCAAAAATTAGGCAAGGCAGAGTTACGGTTCTTGTGCACTGCATACCTACTCAATGAGATCTATCTACCTACAAAGTTTCATGTTGATACCTCTTATAGTTTTAGAGTTATGTCCCGGACAAATTTCAAAGTGTAAAATAAACAAAGGGGAATAATTCAAAAATTAGGCAAGGCAGAGTTACGGTTCTTGTGCACTGCACACCTACTCAATGAGATCTATCTACCTACAAAATTTCATGTTGATACCTCTTGTTGTTTTAAAGTTAAGTCCCGGACAAGAAAAGGGGACGGAGGGACGGACAAGGCGGCGACTATATGCTCCCCCGAAATTTTTCGGGGGGCATAAAAATAGTCCAGGCCTTTCATATATGGTACTGTTTTTGTCTCTAACATAATACAGAATTTTCTAACCGTTGAAAACTATTTGCGCTTCAAGATAATCCTGTGTTTTAGGAAGAAAATTTATAGGTATATAATAAATGCTGTCATTGACATTTCTTATGTTTATATTTATTATATGTATTTCTTGCATAATTGCAATCCTATTTATAGCTACAAATTCTATGAATTGAAATAGAAAATGAAGGTAGCATGCAGACGGTGTTGATATTGTGTGATAAAAATTTAAAACAATTGCAAATCATTCCAGTAACCGAATACTCTATCCGAAAAATGACCGAGTACTCGAGTATTGATTTTAGTAATTGTTGCCATCCCTAAAAAAATAAAGTACTTGACAAAATCAACTAACATCTAAATAAAAAACTTTGAAAACAGAATTAATTATTTTGAAAAATTCACTCTGAGCTGTATTATTTAAAATGGGTGTTCAAACACATTGAAAACATTGATAATTCATCTCATGTTCTTGGTGATGAAATGGTGCCTCAATATAGTTATCACTGCAATCTATCTTCCCTCATAACTCCTACTATTACTGTATCTGTCAAACAAGCATCTCTGTTTTCTGAAATAGAGTTTTGAAAAAGTTTATTGCTGACCGAGATATTCCATACTTGTATGTTAACTTTTTTCAGCATCTTTCTGTTAGAATTACTCTGATTTATAAAGGTATAAAACCAAAAAATGCGCGACCAATGCCAGAGCTCAACCCCTCTGATCAGATTCACAAACGAGCATCTGACTAGAACCTTTTTTCAAAGCTAGCTGGATTGTTTTCTCACATTTAAGAATCCATATTAAATATAATAGAACATTGATAATTGCTACACAGTCTCTTTGTGAACAAAAAATAAGCATGTTTTGTGTTTACATAAAGTAGCTATGTAATGTTAAAATACCACACGCTATAGGTGGTCACAATACAAATATATAGTGTTGTTAGGAAACTGACAGTTTTTTAAGAAGGACCAAATTTTTTTTGTCTCGTAAGAAGGAACATGGCTTCCAATGCATAGTTAATTCATTCAAATTAGACATATTCAAAAAGAATTGCATAGAATTCAATACATTTTCATGATTAAAATATTTTACTGATGAGCATAGTATATCTTTAAAGGTAAGTGGTTTAGGTACATTACTTTGACTATGGTCACCCCAATTAAATCTATTTATTTGCTTAGTAACACAACTTTTCAAAGTCATTTAAACTTGTAAATGTGAGTGATTCTGATAATCTATATACAGCTAAGTCAAGATGAGATGATTAGATGTTACTGACTGCTCACTATTTCAATGTCAAATGCCTTGAGGTGAAAGGAATGAAAACTTGAATTTCAAAATACAATTTAAGTGAATTACATGTCACAAATGAGCCGTGTCATGACAAAACCAACATAATGGGTTTGCGACCAGCATGGATCCAGACCAGCTTAGTCTGATCAGGATCCATGCTGTTCGCTTACAAACCTTATTACAAGTAGAGAAACTGATAGCGAACAGTATGGATCCTGATCAGACTGGGTGGATGCCCATTATGTTGGTTTTGTCATGACACGGCTAAAATGTTTTTGCTATCGACTTTTGTTCCTAAATTAACAACAGATTGCATAATGAAATGATATTGAAATGATTAATATACAATTGGCCCTTAGTGCCAAGCTTACTGATTTTAAATAAGCCTTGAGTCCTGTGTTGGCCTTTAAACATGTCAAACATTTAAAAGTATTTATTAAGGAAAAGTGTATACAAATAATCATGTACCTCTTCATTATATGCCCATGACATTGAAAAAACATTGTGTCATCTGTTTACTTCAAGGTTAGTCACATTGACAGTATCACATTTTAGACTTTATCTCTCTTGATTCCATTCGTAAAAAGCATTCTCAAAATGGGTCCTCTTAATTTCACATTCATCAATCTGACAAAAACCTCCTGGAAAAGAAGTTAGAAACTTATGCCACTAATTATGTCAGTTAATGTCAAATAAATACTTTTAGAAACTATTTGGTCAAAATTGTAAATGTACAAAGATTTTCAAACCAAATATATATATAACAATGAACATTTCCTTTTTAACTTTCTAACATATATAATGTATGGTCTTACTTGAAGAAAATGTTTGCCCGTGTGACCGAAAAGGGATTAAGGACCATTACTATTGTTTTTCCTTTTGTTTATTAAAGGGCCATGGCCCCATATTCTATTGTTATGGAATGAATTCTATTGTTCTCTTTTGTTCTGCTACAGTAAGATGGATATATATATCAATGTCAGAATAAAAGCTAACATGTTTTTACCTTAATGGCCTGTATAATTATGTTTCACAGCTTCTCAGCAAACAACCAACTGTGCCACAATTGAAATGTAACAAACAAGCCTTTAATCACAAACTTGAAATAAAAACTTTTCCTAATCAATACAATAGTTCTTTTAATTTATTACATACTTCATTGAAACATTAAGAAATATTGATAAAGTAAAATGCTCATTTTCATTTCCTGTATTTTCAATGTAATCATTCATTTTTCATTGCGTATTTTCACAAGTGTCTCCTAAATTTAGCCTATACACAATAGACTGTAAAGAATAATAGGGCAATTTCTTTATAATTTCAAGTATTTATAGTCGAAACAGTCCTTTTTAAAGGCATATATATTGGTAAGTTGAATGTTGCATGTCCAGATATGATTGACTTACAATTGTAAAAGTGAGTTATAATTATATCGGAATAGCTCAATCGGTAGAGAACTTAGCTCAAGGCTACCGGATTTCAAAATTAATGTTGTTCTGACAATTGTCAGGAACAACTTGAAATTTAAATGTGTTTTTCGTTTGATTGATTTTTGTTACCTATCTTACTTTTTCATTGAAGTATCTTTACCTTCTTAAAAATTATGCCCAAATCTCATTTCTTTCTCTCTTTTTTAACTTCTTTCATAAATTTATGAATATTTTCAACAGATTTTAAAAGAATCAAAATACAACATTGTTAAGCATATATAACTGTTGTCAGGAAATAAGTTTTGTTTCATCAAAAATAAACTTGAATAGAAAATAGAACAGTTTCCACCTGTAGTTTGGAACCCACTAACTGAATTCACTTTTATATCAATATTATGCAGTCTTAAACTTACTTCACTAGTAAGTCAAATGATTTATTATCTCAAACAATGTAATTACATGTAGTATAAGTTTTATGGAAATAATGTGGTTAATCACTTGCAGTTAATCAAGACTCGACAAATCCACTTGCCCGCTCATAAATGATAAATACGAGAAAAAAAGACTCTGGACAAGTTAATCTCCCAAAAATACCCGTCCTGCAGGACGTGTGAAATTTCTAGCATAAATTAATCAAATTTCAATTCAATTCTTTTGAAACCATTTTTCAAGTTTCACTAGTAAGACAGAGCACAAAATAATTCCCGTGTGTTTGATGGGCAAAACTGATGTTGATTTGTTGAATGCAACGCTTAATTCTGTCTGATTCTATTTTGTAAAAACTTACTAAAAGCCTGTGCGGCGATTCCAGTATGTTCCACAATTTTTTTTTAAAATGTCACAATGCAATATTTGGCAAATGTTTGGCCAGAAAGGAGTAAGTTAAACAGTGTCTTCAAAAAAGAAAAATTGTCTTCAAAAAAGAAAAATGAGTCAGAACATGTAGGAAATTTATATTTTTAAAGCATTGTTGTTGTTGTTTTTCGTTTTTCAATCCCTGATATATTATTTGTAGTATTTGTAACTATTATCTATTCTATTTGTAATAGAACAGCATTTTTCCCTTATAAAACTATTTACGTTCCCAATAAAAAAGACAGCAAATTTTCAAATGTTTTATTTTTAAAGTCCCAAAATTACTGTCAAAATTCCAATCCAAAATTGGCATATATATAAAATGGATGATTTCATATTGATAAGTGATATGTGGTAGAAAACATTTATCCTAAGTCAGAAATGAATTCTAAGTCCATTCCCGGTATACTATATAATTAGTATATAGTATACCGGGAATGGACTTAGAATTCATTTCTGACTTAGGATAAATGTTTTCTACCATCAAATACACATTTTGTGAACATTCAATGAGCCGTACCCCTTTGATCCACCGCTGGTTTGTTTTAAGCAGTGAATGACTTCTGCATGTGCAAATAGGGTACTGTTTCAGCAGATTTCGCAAAGAGGGTACAGATATGGATTATGCACCGTGGATCTACGCTAGTAGTAAATAACTCACCTCCAAAAAATATATATAAAAAAATGGGTCAAAAATGTCTGGGTAGGAAATGGGTTGAGGGAAGACTTTCAAGGGAAAAAACTGCTAAACTTAAAATTTGATAAGGTCAATTCAGTACAAAAAAGAAAATTTGTAAAAAATACAGCTTTTGATTGCAACTTAAATATCAACGTTATGAAATATAAACAATGAACATCTTGAATAACGTTGTATTTTGTATTTAAAGTCATATCCGCGGATATGACTCATATCCGGTATTAAGTCAAACCCTTGTATTTTTGTAAGCAACCAGAATCGCCGAATATGTTCCTGCAACGATTTGACGACGATTTCACCACTGATAAATGCAAAACAAGCAAGTTATTCAACAGTTAGGTAAATGGGAGATAAGGTTTTTGTAATATAAAACATACAACTCGTTTTAACACGTGGAACTTCTATATATACTTCTCAATCTTTCACGGATGAACTTGTAAACAATAGCGAATGCGGGAAAATGACGCTAGGGCGAAAATAGTTCGTATTCATACGCATGCAATGTTTTTCTTAAATTTACACTTATGAAGCATAAGGCCCTATAAGCTTTAAAGTTAGCTGATCTAAAATCCGTATTCCATTACTTGCTAAATTTTTGAGTTCTATGACACTTAATTAACTTGTGACTACATGTACTATACTTATGCAAGTACTTTGACAATGATCGACCGCTGGCGTAGTAATATTAAAATCGCGAAAAGCAAAAATATACATACAATTTTAAAAGACGATTGCTAAATTTACTAAAATAATTGGCCAGTCAATTTTAAAATAGATAGGGAACTATGATTTTTGGTGTTACTGCGAAGTTTTGGAACTATTTTGCTTAGCGTAGGTAGCTGACTAATTGTGTTCAAATCATAGTAAAGCTGAATTTGTCGTTATTCCATTGGGGGCGCATTGTGCATGCGCCCCCAAAAACAGACCTTTTAAGCGATAGATACGATGATTACGTTAATAAGCCTAAGCATATAAATATTTCTAACAGATCTCTACTTCAAAGTTCCATTTCTGATTTCTTTATGAATTTCAACTTGAAAGTTACACGAAAAGCTTCTGTCGAAATCTTAAACTAATTTAAAACGCTTTTCAATTCGGAGTAAGCTTACTTGATATAATTGATTATTATACTCGTATATGTTGTAGAAACTTGTCCAATATTCCATTATATTAAATAATTTTCTAGGAGCATTTTTACTTAGTCTAGTTTCTCTTAATCCCATTTTCTGTTATCTCCTGACCATCACAACCAAGTTGCAACTTAAAGTTAAGGACGTCCCATTCCATAGGCTTTATTCAGGTTCAAGGGCAGATAGGCAACTGTTAATTTTTGCTTGAAATGTTTCCATTTTTTATACTTTGTATTCTATGAAACTGCAAACTCTATAAACTCTTTTCATTTTGTGTTCATTCTGACTAAGTAACGTCATTATAAATCTGTAACGAACTTTCATACGATATATAATTGAATATACGATAAATTTGTTTTATAATTTTTCTAGCATTTATCATAGTGTTAGCTAAATAATAGACGTGCATTCATAAAAAAATTTTAATGCACATAAAGCTTGTCTCCATACAATCATATAAAATATCTAAACAAATACAGTAACTTATCAATTTGTGTTTAAGTTAATATGTTTTACCCATTGCAACATGTTCATGACAGTTTGTCAATAAAGCGATTAAAATCTTAATAAGCATTACATTTCTTAATTGCAACCAATTTATTTCAACGAACATTTTATTATATTTCAGAACATTTGTTTATAGTAAGAAAACATTGTAAAGCACCTTCTCTCCAGTAGGTTGTACTGCTGTTATAATCAGATAAATTTGACCATGTGAAAAATTGCTCAAACAATAATTACAACAAATGATGTTAAGGAGGCAGATAAACACATGATCACTTGACTGAAAAGTTTAAGACCATGAAAAGGACAACAAATGTGTTCCTGTTATTGTGAAAGTTGTACTTTTAATTAAGTAACAAAATGTTAACATCAATTCAGGTGCCACAATATCTTTTCTTTGTCGTTCATAATTCATGGAACAAAACAGGAATATTTGATTAATTTGAGACAAAAATATTGATTACATTTGTTACAAAATAACACCTTAATATTATCATAGATTATAACGTTTGATTCATAGACTACATAAACAAAATAAAATCACGGTAACCTGTCTTGCGAGCTATAACATTTCTTTGACTACTATGTCTTTTGGTTACAAGCACTTTCAACATCCGATAACTTCATCCTTCTTTGTAGCTTAAATATTCTAACTTGTTTCTTTCTTTAGCTAACAGATAGTACATTTGTATATACACAGGAGAATCTGGTTGTGTGTGTGTCATGGTTATTTCTGATATAAGTCTGATTTTGAAACTATTTTGAAACTATCATGCTTTCTTTAATTCTTTTTATTTTCCTTAAAAATGCAAAGCTCACTTTAATTTAAGTACATGTAACACAATTATATGTATTCCAATTAGAAAAATACTTTCGTGATTTTCATATAAATAGCAGACGCTCATTCCTCGTGGTCTGTGTGACTGTTTGAATTCGGAACATCCGATAATGAGCAACTTTTTCCTTGGAGCGACAAGAATGTTTATAAACCAAAATTACCAGAATAAGTACGCTTATACATTTGTATATTAATTCAAAGAAAATCCCTTATGTTAATGTGTCAATATTTAATTTATACAAAAAAGGTAATATCTCGATGATTGTTCTGATAAAAGCAAACTAGTATTACCCACGTTATGTGAATCGTTTATTTCATGTTCATATTAATTCATAACAGTCGCAGAATTTTATTTTTCATTTCCAAGCATCTGGTCATAGGGATCATAGAAATTAAATAAAATCAAGAGCTTATTTACAAAAATATTGACATATATAACGCATGTTTCTAAAATTTCTAAAATGCATGGACATTTCGTGTACAGTATTATGTTTGTCTACAAAGATTGACTTCTAACGCTGTAGGATTAAATTGTGCATATTAAAGATTAACAGAGTACTACTTAATCGCATATTGTTTGTTTTATGCAGCTGTTTGCCGCCACTTATAACCGACTAATTTTGTTCTGTGTGTTGACATTTTAAACTCCATAAAATGAGATTTATTGCATTTGAAATATAATTACAATATAATACTATACCTTATGCATTTGCTGCAAACGTACCCGTTCAGACAACTAATTAATTAAGAGCTGAGAGTTGTGTACATA